TGACTGTGCCAGTGCACTTCAGCCTGAGTGACAGGACAAGACCCTGTCTCAAAAAAAAACTGAAACAACAACAAAAACATCCTTCAGCCTATTTGTATGTCACTGATTAAATCCAACATGCTCTTATAGTATTCATCTCAGGTCACAGCTCCTAAGACATTTTAATGGCTCCCTTCCTGGCTCTAAAAACATTTTAATGGCTTTCAATCAGCTTCCTGAGTATCTTTTATACTCTCATCTCCCTCTGCAGCCAAACTCCAGTCCTGCTAATGACGGGCAATAGCCCAGGAACCACAGAGCACTTCAGGCTCTGCCTGACAAACTCACAGACAGGAAGTGCAGGAGAAAAGGAACCGGTCCCTTTTATTTCTTCTTCCTCTTTTGTCTCTAACTAATCCTTTTTGGATAAGTGTGTAACCCACTTCCTCTTTTGTCTCTAGCCAGTCCTTTTTGGATAAGCATGTAGCTCACTTGGATGACCCTTAATTGTCAACTGCTGGTCAGAATGACATTTCTCATTCTTATGAGAAGGGTTGCCGTTGGCCCTTATTGGATGGTCTCCCCAGCACCCTCTTCCAATATATGATCTTCTGCCCTCCCCCGCCCCCGGCTTCCTTCCCATGTTTGCAGCGGCAGCAGCCACAAGGTGACCTTGCCTCTGTTGACTGCTCCAGCTATAGATCTTTCCTCTAAAAAGAACCAGTTGGATTGGATTAGAGCTGTTACTGTGCATCCCACCTCATGTGCCTAAGGAGCAGAGGGAGCCAGCCATTGCCAGAGAAGGAGGCCATCAAGAGGAGCGTTTAAGCCAGGCGTGGTGGCTCCTGCCTCCAATCGTAGCACTTTGGGAGGTCAAGGCAGGTGAATGGCTTGCGCTCGTGAGTTTGAGACCAGCCTGGGTAACATGGCGATACCCTGTCTCTACATACATACAAAACTTAGCCAGGCTTGGTGGTACATGCCTGTAGTCCCAGCTACTTAGGGAGCTGGGGCAGGAGGATTGCTTGAGCCTGGGAGGTGGAGGCTACAGTGAGCCGTGTTTGTATCAGTGCACTCCAGCCTGGATGACAAAGCGAGACCCTGTCTTGGGGGGGAAAAAAAAAAAAAAGAACTGACCCAAAGAGAAACTCCCTTCCCTGTCCTTAGATCATTCCTGAAATCTTGAGTTCTCAGAGATGCTCCAAGATGCCCTTGTATCCTTAAAATATATTTTCCTTTTTCATAAGCTACATTGAATTGGGTAGTTGTTGCTTGCAATCAAAAGGAACCTAACCAATAGAAGTGCATTAACATGTTTTATAGTATTGTGAGAGGAAAATAAATCTTGGGGCCCCAAATCACTAAGCTAAAGGGAAGAGTTAAGCTGGAAACTGCTTAGGGCAAACCTGCCTTCCGTTCTATTCAAAGTCACCTCTCTGTTCACTGAGACAAATGCATATCTGATTGCTTCATTTCCAGAGGCTCATCAGAAACTCAAAAGAATGCAACCTTTTGTCTCTTACCTACCTATGATCTGGAAGCCCCCTCCATGCTTCCAGTTGTCCCGCCTTCACCTGGAGTTGTCCCACCTTTCCAGACTGAACCAATGTACATCTTACACATATTGATTGATGTCTCATGTCTCCCTAAAATGTATAAAACCAAGCTGTGCCCCAACCACCTTGGGCACATGTTGTCAGAACCTCCTGAGGCTGTGTCATGGTTGCCCATCCTCAACCTTGGCAAAATAAACTTTCTAAATTAACTGAGACCTGTCTCAGATGTTGGGGGTTCACTGTATGCTGTAGGAAAAAAACAACTGGGTTTGGAATCAAAAGGAGAAAAAAATCATGAATTGAGAACCTATGGCAAATTAGACCATATGTCCTGCTTAATGCTTTCCCAACATGGTTTTAGGTAATTCTGACTATAGTCCTTTGCCTTAGTTCATTTTGTGTTACTATAATGGAATATCACAAACTAGGTAATTTATAAAGAAAATAAATTTGCCTGGGCACAGCAGCTCATGCCAATAATCCCATAACTTTCGGAAGCCAAAGTGGGAGGATCACTTAAGGCCAGGAGTTCAAGGCCAGCCTGGGCAACATAGAGAGACCCTGTCTCTACAAAAAATAAAAATTAACCAGGTGTGATCATGCTCACCTTTAGTACTACCTACTTGGGAAGTTGAGGTAGGAGTATCACTTGTACCCAGGAGTTTATGGCTGCAGTGAGCTATGATCATGCCACTTCACTCTAGCCTAAGCAACAGAGACTCTGTCACTTGTCTCAAAAAAAGAAAAAAAAAAAAAAGTGAGTTTATTTCTCACAATTCTGGAGGCTGGGAAGTGCAAAAGCACGGCACTAGCATCTGGCAAGGGCCTGTTGGTGTGTCCCTACCATGGCAGAAGGCAGAAGGGCAAAAAAATGCTCACAAGGTACAAGCTAAACTCATCCTTCTATCAGGAATCCACTCCACTGATAAAGGTATTAATCCATTTATGAGGGCAGAGTCTTCACTCATGATCTTGAAGGTTCCACTTTGCAACACTGTTGCCTTGGGGATTATGTTTCTAATACATGACTTTAGGGGACACATTGAAACCACTGCATCCTTTAAGGTAGGAATCAATGTCATTTTTCAAATGAAGAAATAAGGGCTTGGAGAGGTTAATTAACTTGCCCAAGATCTCAGAGCTAAAGCCAAGATCATATCCAGGACTGACTACAAAGTCCTGTGGTCTCTAGTGCTTGGCAGGTCCAGCTTCACTTTTGAGTCTAGAGAGTAGTAACTCTTTTGGTGTAAAAACTAAGGGAGATGATACATTAAATCTAAGTGTAAATTAGATTATGCTTAAAGTGTAAGTCATATGGTTATTATTAATAGATCCCCAAGTTAGCCAATATGTGAACTTTTCCATAGAGAAATGAAATATGGTTTAAATGCAGCATATTTTAAATGGATTATCTCATACAATGTGTTTTTTGTTTGTTTTATATTGTTTTTGTTGTTTTCTGAGACAGAGTCTTACTCTGTTGCGCAGGATGGAGTACAGTGACGCAATCTCGGCTCACTGCAACCTCCAACTCCCGGTTTCAAGTGATCCTCCTGCCTCAGCCTCCCAAGTAGCTGGGAGTACAGGCACGTGCCACCACGCCTGGCTAATACAATGTGTTTTTTAGACAACAGAGGAAGCCAGCAGTTCTTTCCATATCAGCTTTTCTGTGATACATTTTTCTTTTTTTTTGAAACAGAGTTTCTGCTCTTGTTGCCTAGGCTGGAGTGCAGTGGCACCTTCTTGCCATCTCGGCTCATCACCACAACCTCCCCCTCCTGGGTTCAAATTATTCTCCTGCCTTAGCCTTCTGAGTAGCTGGGATTACAGGCATGTGCCACCACACCCAACTAATTTTGTATTTTTAGAAGAGACAGGGTTTCTCCATGTTGGTCAGGCTGGTCTTGAACTTCCGACCTCAGGTCATCCGCCCGCCTCAGCCTCCCAAAGTGCTGGGATTACAGGCATGAGACACTGCACCCGGCCAGAATACTCAAATCTCAATGTTATACATTTACTGTCAATCCTGTCAGTATCAGTATATTGTACACAGTATACAGCAATTGACAGTATACTGCCAATTATAAATTGAGTTTTTTTAACGATTTACAAATGAATTTGTCAAAATTAAATTAACCCCACCCCCCCTACACACACCCACAGTCCTTTACAGATAGGTGGTATATGAATATAAGGTACAAATTGTATGTGCATGGTGGCTTTGGCACAAATAGACTGGTTCTCTTTTTAATGTTAAGTGTAAAGCAGTTCTTTCATCTCTGTTCAGTGCAGTGTTGAATGTGACTAGGATTTGCAGAACCTTAAAAAAAAAAAAAACTCACCTGCTTGCCATCTTTTTTTTCTTTTCTTTTCTTTTCTTTTTTTTTTTTTGCTGTTTTTGTTTGCTGCTTTTGTAAAACCAGTTTATCATATTCTCATTAGGAAATCAATCTTCATGAAATTAATTTTTTTTTTCCTGCTAACTGTGGCCCAATCTTTTCATTTCTCTCTGCTTCTATCCTAAGAGCATTCCTCAAATTGACCATGAGAGGATTTACATCTGGGGCACTTGGCATACGCCAAATGGAGACAAAATCAGAATCAGCAGCCTGGCTGGGCCACAGGTCCAGCATCCCAAACTATTAAAATATTCTTACTGTTTCCAGGGAAGTGACAGATCCACTTTGGAATCTGATAATATACCCCTTCCCTAGAAACATGCATAAACACAAAGTGTCCTAAACAACTTCCACGTGCTCATACCTCCCCCACCTCCCAAGCTCATTGACTACTGCCTCGCCTTCACGAACTCCAGATCTGGTCTGAAGATTTCTAAAGGACGCTCGGGGGTTAAAAGGAGCGACGCCACTGCAGAAATGACAGCCTTCATCCACAAGTGGCCCGCTTCGGGTTGGCTGGAGCCGCAGCTGAGTGGGGACAGGCCTTGCACTGCCTAACAAGCACCTTCCAGGTGCGTCCAGTCCTGAAGCGGTAGGACTGGACCGTCCAGGTCCCAGCGCTCGAGAGGACGGCAGGCAGGGGCTGGGATTGTCTGGAGATGTGAATGCTTTCTAAGGTTGACGTCAAGGTCTCCTTCCTGAGCCATAGCCCACGTGACAAGCTCCGTCCAGGTAGAAATGATCTCATCTCTCCCGTCGCCCAGGGTCGGAAACCTGAGGCCCGTGCGGGCTGGGGCAACTTAGCGGGGGTCCTAAGCCGGCCGCGCCCTCTGCGCCCCAAGCGTGTGTGGAGGGCTTGGACGTGGTCCAGAAGGAAAAGATGGGGTGAACCAGGTGCCGCGCACCCTTCGAGGAGCCCCCGCTTCTCCGTTTCTGTGAATGACTCCAAAGCACCTCCGAGGGCCGATGCACACGCGGACGACCTTGGGCGGGCACTGACCATTGTCCCCTTCCACTCGGTTGTGTCGGGGGTCCCCAGGTGAGGCGCAGACGCCGCCCTACCCACCTGTACGAGGCCTTCCCCGGAGCAGCCCGGCTACGAAACGACGCCTATGGCGGGGAAGCTAAGGAAGACTCTCGGCCCTCACTCCGCGGCTGCGGCGACTGAACGGCCCCAGCACGCCGGGGCCCTCCCCAAGCTCTGCTCCCAAGCCGAAGCCCCGCCCTAACACCAATGGCCCACCTTCAGGCCCCGCCCCTGATCCCGCCTCCATGAGTCAAGCCTCGCCTTTCAGCCCAGCCCGGCCCGCCCAGGTCCCGCCCCTGCTGTTATGGCCCACCTCCAGGCACCGCCCTTGATCCTGCCTTCATGAGTCAGGCCACGCCTTCCAACCCAGCCCTGCCAGCCGAGGCCCCGCCCCTGTACCGACGGCCCACTTCCAGGCCCCGCCCTTGATCCCGCCTCCACAGGTCAGGCCCAGTCTTCTAGTTCCGCCCCGCCCGCGGAAACCCCGCCCCCGCGCGCCTATGGCCCACCTCCAGGTTCCGCCCCTAACCCCGCCTCCAGGCGTCCAGCCCCGCCTTCCATCCCCGCCCCAAGCGCCAAGGCCCCGCCTCCAGGCTCCGCCCCGACTCCCGCAGTAGGAAAGAGCAGCCGCCGCTGGTTCTCAGGCGCGGCGCGGTGGTTCTGGCTCCCGGCGGCGCCGCAGCCCCTGCCCAGTCTGTCTCCCTCAGCTCGGCGGGCTCCTCCGCGCCGCACGTGAGCGCGCCCGCCAACAGGGCCACTGCCGCGGGTAAGTCGTGCCCGCGCCCTGCCCGGCGTCCAGTCCTCAGCCGCTGGGCGAAGCCGGAGGAGCCGGACGTCTCCTCCCCGCCGGCCCGCGGGCCCTTCCCCAGGTCCAGAGGGCTTGGGCGGCGCCGTGGGGCGGCTCGGGGTGCAGGTGGCTTCCCGGCGCGCGGCCCGGGCCCGCGGCGCGCGCTGCTGCAGTGCGGGGGCGGGGAGCTCGGGGCCGTAGACCCGGAGGGCAGCTGGGAGACTGGGTGGGGTCCCCTCGGGTTACCCGACCCTGGCGCGGAGGATGTGATGCCGGCCACGCCCTCACCGAGCGGGGCGGCAGGTGCAGGTCAGGGGTGGATCGCGGCCCGCGCGCTCTCCCGGGGCGGGCCCACAGCGAGACGCTTAGCCTTTGTTTGCTCGTGCGGTCCTGGCTGGGGAGGAGACTGGGGACGCGGACCTGTGAGAACTGAGGGCTTTCCTCGTCGGGGAAGACCCCAGTCTTCCAGCCAGGCCTCAGGAGATGGTATCCGGGCCGCAGTGCGCGCTCCACCATCCTGGCCCCTGCGCCCTGCGGGGTTCCCGACTGCTCGCGGGGACTATTACCCGCAGGTGTTGCCTCACACTCGCGACTGCAGCCCCGCAATTGGGAAGACTTTGCTAGGATTTTTTTGGTAAGGTGATGGAAGACCGTGCCCCCGGCCCCACAAGCCTCCTGGCATTAGGTGGCTTAAAATTTTTCCAGTACAATTTGATTACCACTCTGAAAGACCAAATTCAAAACAGTGTGTCCCAGAGTTAAGACCATTGGTGATGAGTGTTTCTGTGCTGTAGACTAAGGATCGTTATCAATTTTATTACTAATAGTGCATATTTGTTATCTGTTGCTAAATGTTTTTGCTTATGTGGTAGGGTCACTGTGTCCTCATTTTCATCGAGCTCAGAAATGTTCTTTCATATAAACATATTTACAGTGAACTTTTTTGGGATCTGGCAGTTGGTTTTTCTCTTGAACTTGTTTTTTTCTTTTTCTGTATTATTATTACTATTATTATTATTATTATTTGAGACAAAGGTCTCACTGTGTTGCCCAGTCTGTTCTCAAACTCCTGGGCTTAAGCAATCCTTCCTCCTCGGCCTCTTGAAGTGCTTGAATTACGGGTATGAGCCACAGTGCTCAACCCTGAATTTGATTTTCTGTGAAATTAAAAATGGGTAAAGTGAGAGATTTCTTGCTGACATTTTCGATTTTAAGGTATCTGAGTAGATACACTTCTTATGTGATTACTTCTGTGTGTCTAGTTATCTATAGGCTGTATAACTGTCGGTTTTACTGAACTGTTCAATCTCTCACAGGAGACATATCTAGGATAGATTGCAAGATCATTGGCAAAAGAGCTATTTAAGGACTGAACCAATAATTTTATCACTAGCATAATGTACTGGAGACCCCGTACTATCTCACTTCCCTGAGCTCGAATCTGGTTCTGCCAGCTGCTGGGTGTGTGACCTGGGCAATTTTCCGAATGGCCTGACTTCCTAATACCCGTCTCACAGGACTCGTGTATTGCATCAAGAAATGCATGCGGCCCGGTGAGGTGGCTCACACCTGTAATCCCTGCACTTTGGGAGGTCAAGGGGGCGGATCACAAGGTCAGGAGATCAAGACCATCCTGGCCAACATGATGAAACTGCGTCTCTACTAAAAATACAAAAATTAGCCGGGCGTGGTGGCGTGTGCTGGTAGTCCCAGCTACTCTGGAGTCTGAGGCAGGAGAATTGCTTGAACCTAGGATGCAGAGGTTGCAGTGAGCCGAGATGGCGACACTGCACTCCAGCATGGCGACAGAGCAAGACTCTGTCTAAAAAAAAAAAAAAACAGAAACAGAAAAAAGAAGAAAAGAAATGCATACGTGAGGCTGGGTGCGGTGTCTCATGCCTGTAATCCCAACACTTTGGGAGGCCGAGGTGGGCGGATCACCTTAGGTCAGGAGTTCGAGACCAGCCTGGCCATCATGATGAAACCCTGTCTCTTCCAAAAATATTTTTTAAAAAATTAGCCAGGCATTGTGGTGGGTGCCTGTGATCCCAGTACTTGGGAGGCTGAGGCAGGAGAATCGCTTGAACCCGAGAGGCAGAGGTTGCAGTGAGCCAAGATCACACCATTTTATTCTATCCTGGGTGACAAGAGCGAGACTCCACCTCAAAAAACAAAAACAAAACAAAAAGGAGACCGGGCACAGTGGCTCACACCTGTAATCCCAGTACTTTGGGAGGCCAAGGCGGGAGGTTCACCTGAGGTTGGGAGTTCAAGACCAGCCTGACTAGCGTGGAGAAACCCCATCTCTACTAAAAATACAAAATTAGCTTGGTGTGTTGGCAAATGCCTGTAATCCCAGTTAGGAGGTTGAGGCGGGAGAATCACTTGAACTCGGGAGGCGGAGGTTGCGGTGAGCTGAGATTGCGCCATTGCACTCCAGCCTGAGCAACAAGAGGGAAACTCCATCTCAAAAAAAAAAAAAAGAAAGAAAGAAAAAAAAGAAATGCATGCATTTTCTTGGAAAATGGTGAATTTTCCAAGCTCGTCCAGAAGACTTGCTTGGTAGCATACCACATGCCCCATATTTTGAAATAAAGGAGCTTGCATGAATGACAATTTCCAAACTTCTCACCTGTGCTGGTAGTTACACCAAATAGCACTTTCTTCATATGGCCAACCATAACACTGAACCGCTCCAGCTACCTGGTCTTACCTGGCTGATGCCCTCCTTGTCATGAGCAGTGGCGTCCCTTGCCACCCCACCTTCTAAATACACATCTTATTGTCAATACACACCTTATCACAGTCCTCTTCCTGGTAACTCCAGCCGCCCACACCTCTGAACTTTGAGGACTCTTCTGCCGGTGGCTGAGTTTCCTCTTGCTATCATCAGACTCTGTCATTTTGTCCACCCTCTGTCACTTACGTGTGTTAAAAAGAGCAAGGTCACTTTTTCCACCCTCTGACACTTACGTGTGCCACATTAAACTGAGATTATGTATTTAGGTATTTTAATGTGAGCCACATTAAACTGGAATTATGTATTTAGGTACTTCTACTTTTAATAGGCTATGAATGATGAGAGTAGGGACCATGTACTTCCACTTTTATTAGGCTGTGAACGATGAGAGTAGGGACCTTGTCTTATTTATGTTTCTTTCCCCCATGTTTAGACATTTAGAAGAGTGAACAGACTGTGCCCCATTGGAGTATTGCAGTGGTTTAGAGATGCTGGGTTTCAGAACTGTGAATTTTCTGGAAAAAAAATAGTATGGACTGTTTGGATATATCAACTTCTTAGTCTTTACTTGGCAAAAGGAACAAACTACCAGCTCTCATTACCATCTTTTCCTTAATATTTTCAAAACGTGTGAAGGCAGTTATTTCAGAAAAAGGGACAGGCCTTCCCAGGAAGCATGAGTAGATGGTCTTATTTTGTGGCTGGGTGTGCAAGGTGCAGTATATTTTTGCAGAGAGGCATGAATGCAGAGGCTCTGTGGCAGGATGGGTTTGTCCTGGGGTTGGAGGGTGCAGTGAGAAGTGGGTAGAGTCTTGAAGCTGGAAAAGGGATTGTTTGACTCTGTTTTGAGCTTTCTTTTTTTCTTTTCTTTTTTTTTTTTTTTTGAGACAACGTATCGCTCTGTCGCCCAGGATGGAGTGTGGTGCCACAATCCCAGCTCACTGTAACTTCCACCTCCCAGGTTTAAGCGATTCTCCTGCCTTAGCCTCCTGAGTAGCTGGGATCACAAACATGTGCCACCGCACCTGGCTAATTTTTTGTAGTTTTAGTGGAGACAGTTTCTCCATGTTGATCAGGCTGGTCACAAACTCCTGACGTCAGGTGATCCACCCGCCTCAGCCTCCCGAAGTGCTGGGATTACTGGCGTGAGCCACTGCGCCCCGCCTTATTTGAAGCTTTATGGAAACAATTTTAAACATGGCAGTTGTATGCATTATGTTTTAAAAGGATTCTTGGAGCACTGTGTGTAAAGGCACTGGAAAGGGGCAAGTGTGGGAGAATCATTGGGAAGCTTCTGCAAACATGCAGGGAACAGGCAGCCCAGACTGCGATGCGGCGGAGATGGAGAGCAATTGAGTCAACAGGTGTTTAGGAGGAAGAGACAAAGAGGACTGGGGTTGAGTGTGGCAGGTGAAGAGAAGGAAGAGTCTAGAATGATCCCACAGGTGAAGGGGCTACTTTCTGAGAAGGGAAAGACTGGAGAAGGAGCATATTGAGCAGATGGAATTGAGAGTTTAGTAGTTTTTTTTGTTTATTTCTTTGGGACAGAGTCTCGCTATGTCATCCAGGCTGGAGTGCAATGGTGCGATCTCAGCCCACTGCAACCTCTGCCTCACAGGTTCAAGTGATTCTCCTGCCTCAGCCTCCTGAGT